AAACATATTCAACAGGAACACATGTACAATCGGCACAACATGACGTATGCAAAATCAAGGGCCTATCTAGGCAAACACTCCTCAGTGGGTTTGAAAAATAGACAAGTTTTGTTTTTGGGCAATTGATATTAATAAGGTTTGACGTAAACCAATCCATCAGGTGTATGGCGTCATCTTGTAGCATATCTATCGCGGTACTATATTGTATATGGCGAGATAAAAGCAGGGTGTCATCCGCATACTGATAAATAATAATAATAATAATAATAATAATAATAATTTGTATCGTTCTTTTTGTTTTTTGCAATACAGAAAATCGGGTTCGTCAAAGCCTAGAGGCATGTACGACGTGGCCCGGCAGCCGCGAATAGTTATTTAAACAAGGCTGCCATTTGCGTTGAAAAACAAACACAACAACACCAATACATCAATGACAAGTTCACTCACTTTGAAAATATACATACAAATAAAGGAAGAAAAAATATCTTGTTGAAGCATTGAAGCTACGTGTACAAAATTTTTGTTCATAAGGGTAAAGAAGACGCGGTTCCCGATAAAAGGAACCTGACCAGTGCCATCTGGAGAGGCCCATATGTGGAGTTCTTCGCTTTTATTTAAAAGCGACGAACACGCCCGTGCAGGGCTGTAAAAATTACACGATGGACGCTGGGATCGAAAACACAGCACTAGTCTGTCGAAGATTATGCGTTTTCATTTTTGCAGAATTTCCATATAATTAATTAGTTTGGCCGGCAATATCCCTAACACGTACGTCTTTATTTCTTTCTCGTTTTTTTTCCCCATAATATCCCGGATGATAGCCTGCTTCAAAATAATAACCCTCTTTGGTTTTCTCTCTAATGCAGGGGCGGATTTATGGCTAAGGTTTGGAGGGGAATTTGTGATTATTTTTTTTTAATTGCGCGGTCTAGTAATTACTAGGGTATTTAAAAAGGAAAATATTAATCAAGTTTTAACGTTTGTTACAGCCTAAAAATTTCCACCAAATTTTTATTAGTTTCCTGATTTATTTTATAAACCCGCACTTGCTGCTGCAGTGGCTCAAAAATTTGCAATATAAGTTGTAAAAAAAAACAAAAAAAAACGGAGAGAGAGAGAGAGAAAGAGACATCATACGTATGCATGGTTCTATATTCTTCATAAAAACAGTGACTATATATCCTTATTTAAGAAACACAGGCAATGCGGCGTGACAGAGTTTTAGCAGAGACTTGAACAAATAAGATACATCAATTTAGTCAAAAAACACCACGAAGACCGAAGAAGAAAGTATTAGTTAGCAAGACGAATGTAAGAAGGCCGAATATTATGGAGACTTCATGATTCCTCGACGAACGTGATCAAAATGTCTTGTTATTATAATTGTTATGTCATTTACTCACTCTCGAAAAATGCAAAGTTCTTGAGAATGGTGTGACGTGACGGGATTTCGAACATTTAGTTGGAGTAATTAAACTCTTATATAAAAACAGGGGGTTGGATTTATTAGCGACTTTACTCTCAATGACTAGGTGTATTACGGGAGACAGCCAAACAAAAATAACAGTTCGGTTTTTTATGGTATTGTAGTGGATGCTTGAAACCAATAGAAAACAAAAGCGCGAGCTCAAATGTCCTTCAGCCCAGTACCTAGGCGAATTGCATGGAACAACATTCAAATTATTTATTGAACAGATTCACGTTTATTTAATAAATAAAAACGATAACCCCCTACGTTTAGGGAGAACAGTATGCAGACACAATTATTAACACAAGTTATCAAATTAAAAGTTCTTCACAGCACGAACATCGCCTTCCGTCATCGTGCTTTCTGCGCGTAGTGGTCTACCACCTTCTCTTGGTTGACGTTGACATCTCGGTGGACGTTGAAGAGGGCAAGACTGTTTAATTCATTTTCGCCACACTGCGATCTAATCCAAGCCTTAATCCGCAGCAGGGTAGAGAAGGACCGTTCAGCGCCCCCCCCCCCCCCTTTCCCCCCGCCTAAATCCGCCCCTGCTCTAATGATTCGTTCTTGACAGAAAGAAAAGAAATTATCATAACGCCGCTATTATTAATAATCCTGTTCATTTGGACAACAAATCACGATATATAATCTATCTTTGTCAGTCTTTGTATCCGGGCTCAGACAGGATATTTTTTATACGTGCAACGATAGCCTAGTTCGTCTTTCGTGTTCACAACAGGAGCGACTATTTATTTTTTACATATTTTAATAGACGAGTGAACAACGTTATCTTAATTCGCTCAAAATGAGGGGACAAATATTTAAATCGACCGTCTTCAGAGCTTTTCAGAGTTGCACGACAAAAGTTTTGGTGTGCCACCCTGAAAGCATTTTACAATAGTTAATACGGCAGTTACACAATTTGGCCCGGCCTACAAAGTAGCGCGCATATTTTTTGTTGATTTTCGCATAGTCACAGGTTTGCTTCCATAAACAGTGATTCATTAAAATTATTTCACATCCCTTTCCTCCCATTGCCTACCAATTGTCACAATTTAACAACAAAAAAAATAAGCTTGGTTCATGAATGTTTTCGCGAAACGTTTTGGAAATGTTTTTGGAGTTAGGGGAGTTAGCTCTCGACAGTAATTGGCAAATTTGGCCAGACTACCGTAGTCCCTGTCTTGGAGTACTTAGCCTGCGTCACGCAGTAGTGACACGAGAAACTGTTACTTAACTACGACCCTTGAAACAAGCGCCCACTAGCAAACGGAAATGCAAAGCAGTGGACGCCGGAACAGCCATTCCTGCAGAGGGTGCACCTCCGCAAAGCCTGTGTTTAAGCGGAGAAGCCAGCGCAACGGAGCCAGCCGACACGACGATTGCCTTAGGTAATACGCCTAAGAACTAGATAGTGTTATCTTCAATAATGCATCTTAATATATTATTGACACTTTTTCAAAATTTGAACCCGCATAAAGTTTTTTTATTTTAGTTTTAATTTAAAATTACTCAAATTACTTCTTACCCCTTTAGGATGCACAAAATGTAAACGCGAAGACATCAGTTTACCAACGGCACCGACGTTACTCACAGGTTTTCCCAGAGTTCTTTAGCGAACCGTGCCGCTGCCCACTGGCTGTACGCATTAATGTTCGAAGCGTCGGTACTGACCTGCTATGAAGTGTAAAACGCTGTGCGTCCGTCGACGTGCGATCTGTCCACCCTTGGTAGCCGCCATTTCCTCGACCAGCTCACTGTGCCTGTTTGAATCGAGTAGCGGTGTCGTCGGAGCTAGACCTTCGCACCCTCCATATCTTGAGCTTCGGCGAAAGGTTTTCGGTCACTCCGCCGCGCTCTGGCACCGAGGATAGGAGGGGGCGAGGGTGCGTCATCGATTTCCCGAGGATCCGCCAAGCGCGGAACTGCGAAGCGGAACTTGGACTGCTTCTTCCGTCGTTCAAGCTCGCATCACCAGAGAGCGCTCGGACTGCCGCGTGCCTCTATTTCTCACTATTCAGGGTAGATGGCGCAAGCTATCATTCAAATTCGCGCAACGCGTTGGTTTATTGATTCTAGCATGTATCAACTGTGGTGATCGTGAAGAAGTCTGTGCGAAAATGACTAATACTTTTTTTTTTAATTTTCTCGCAAATATTAGTTTTGAAAGTGCACGCCGTGATAAAGTGTATTGATTGATACATTTGTTGATTAATTTTATCTTATTCATTTACTTTTAGTGTCCCACAAACAGCTCTGAACCTTTTTTAAGGTGCAGTTGTCATTGAGTATGTAACCTACAAAGACACCTAACATAAAAATTAGAATTTTTAACAAAAAATAACATCCAACTCTTTCAAAATATACGCTCATCTTAAATATATATATATATATATATATATATATATATATATATATATATATATATATGAATAATATTCGCAGAAATTTGTTCAACATAATTATGTGTCCATTGTAAGAGTGTAAGAAAAACACGGGGCATGTTTGTTGCTTCGGAAGGCGAGCAAAGCACTCTGAGAATGACGTCTAAAATTCCTTTTATGGAACGGTTGAAATCGTGAATAGTTAAATTTATCTAGAATCGAATTCTAATCGAATAGTGGCGAATAGTGGCTACGAAGTCGAATGCTGAATCGAGTACCAATAATAAAACCTCTGTTTAAAATGCACATAAACAAACAAAAGACAGCACCCCCTCAATATTGATCGAGCATTAATTTTTGCGGAACAGAGTCGCCGGCACTCATAAAGGGACGTGATTGACCAGGCGGTTTAAATTATAATTTCCATTGTTATTGCAATTAATTGCCATAAGTTATGAATGTAGAAAGCCAAAACCCCTCATAACTGAACTTTCTTTTTTCAATATCCGATTTGCAGTGCACAGCTTGCGGCAGGTCACGCGAGATATACGGGCTGTTTAATTTTAACTCGAACATATATTCTTTTTTATCCGTGAACGGTACACTAATTTGGTCTGCGCAGGTGAGTTATACGGCCAGGGGGATGTACAATAGGTAAAATAGCGGGCTAATCGTCCCTATAAGTCGGATATTAACTGAATGTTTTTTTATGTTTAGTTACTGGAAATAAGCATGTGGTTCCGATTAGAAACCTGCAGAGCGTGCTCGAAAACAGCTCGGTCAGTCAATTTTAGAAACAGCCGAAGCAGGAGGGAAGAGCGGGGATGGGCTACAATTGCCACTCGTGAAACAGGCGCGACGCTGGCGATACGAAGACAAAGATGATAAGATTATCATCCGCATCTTCGGCATCTGACGCCTTGCGCCTGTTGCGTGAGTGGTAACTTTAGCGCACCACTGGACTTACTGCATGCTGAGTCTCAAATGTACTGATTAAGTGGTTGTAGTTTACGCGCAGAAAGTTTCTAATTAAAACTACATGCTTGTTTTTACTAATTCAAAAGTTAATTAACAACTTTTAGATAATGATCCGGCTTATTGTGGCAATTATCCTCCTATTTAATAACCACCCTTGTCGCATAACTTACCTGCGCAAACCGCATCTTTAACACATTTGTTCGAAACGAAATTAAACATAACGTATGAATGCAATATTGCGGTGTACGTATTTTCGGGTTTGCGCAGAACGCGTTGACGAAGCTCGAGCGCGACTGTTTCATTCGAGAAAAACAGGAAACGAATTACTTTCTATCGAAATCGTTAGTTTATCGATGCTTCAACGATGCAAGCACAATTTAAACCCAGCAGAGGCCTGCCAGGACTATGCCACCATATAGAGAGCGTTTTTGAATAAACCCATACTTTGTAAAGCAGCATCGATATTCGATGCGCCGAAGTATTCGAAAATTCGAATACTACCAATTCGAAAGTCGAATCGAGTTATTCGGTCAATCGCTATCTGAATCGAAATCAAAGCTCGAATATTCGCACCCCCCTAGTTTCTAGGCGTCAGTTCCTTGCCTTAGGAAGGAAGGAGGGCACGGTTATCCACTCGTGATACTACATATGGGGGAAATTATTCGCATCAATGCAACAGCCGGTAAAAAAGGTAGACGGCTACAACACACTAATGAAAAATTAAAAAGACGACACGGGAAAATATTTGCTGGATCCAAAGTAGTCATAGCGAAATAACAACTATAAATCGAGACGATGACTTCGGCTTTCTGTGAGATAAAAGAAATTGACAGGGCCAAAAAAATATCGATGATCCTGTACGACTGCTATGACGCTTGGCAAGGCGTTCCATTCATTATTTGCAAGGTTCAGCGGGGAGTATCTGTATAAGTTAGCACGGGCAAATACAGAATTTACTTTGTTCCGGGATAGTCAAAACGGAGAAAGATGTGAGTCGCTGGCACAATGTGATTGTGACGAAAGGAAACTTAACTGTGAAGTTTCCGATGAAATAAGGAGTAACCTTGCTATCCGCCTTCTGCTTTCGAGGGACGCTAAATCTAATGAGTTTTTAATACGGTTGATACTGCTGGTAGGGAAATAGTCGCGTGTTATAAATCGGGGGAATTTATTTTGCAACAACTCTAAATCGTTGAAAAAGTAGACTTGGTGGGGATTCCATGTGACGGAGGCATATTTTAATTTACTTCTAACGAGGGATGTATATGCTCGGATTTTTGTGTTATCGTAGGCTAGAAACAGGTGTCTTCTCGGGAATCCCGGTGTTTTAGAAAAAACATCAAACTTAGTTTAATATAAAGATTCCACGACACATTTGATGTTAGATGAACTACAAAATATTTATATGTTAATTTATGATTGACCACACTCTAGACATCTTGGCTCTTAAAATAATTGTGGACAGTTACCTAAATCTTAATCGCAGGGAAAACCCGTCCGTCGCCCAAGAATGCCCAAAGAGTCCGCGACAGAGAATATACCCTGAGTTTCCTGGCATCAGGAAGTCTCAAACGATCTCCAATGACATCCGCTCCGCAGTAAGCCCCAAAATGGCGGCGCTCGCACGCAAATTTGAGCACAGAGTCCCGAAACGCGAGGCGTCGCTTATCTAAAAGGCTGTATTGCCAGACATAAACGCGTCTGGTCATTCGTTCGCTCTCCGGAACGGGAAGCACTCACTGTTGGGCTTTGGGAATTACGCTCGGGACTATGCGTTTAAATCGTATATAGCCAGCAGAATATTTGTACGTAGTATAGCCGAACTATACTACGTTCCACACTGGATGTGCGAGTCAGGTTGAAGCTACGAGCTCGAGCCTACTTCTTCGTGCGTTGGTTACACCGCATGAGCGGGCTTGGCAGAGAGGCTGAAAGCCCGCGGAGCCCGCTCTTGTGCAACGCTCGCACTTAGTGTGAACCGAGGTTTAGAAAGATACACGCCCACAATTTTTCGAAGAAACAGTGTTTGATGTAGGAGCAGTCAGACTGCTCCTACATGAAACGAGAGGCACGGTTGCAGACATAATAATATCTGCGGACAAGTTTCACGCATGTTCAAAGCTGCTTCATCCGTTTCTGCAGACGGTGATGGAAACAGGAAAGAAGTATGCCCAGTCTGTCTTTTGTCTGATGAATGAGCAGTGTGTACCCCGGCTTTAGGCTTAGCCAGTGCAAGGGCCAATGTGGCGATGCAGGCGAGTTGTTTCATGATTAGAACTGCTAGCAGCGCGCAAAAACACAAGAATAAAGGACACAAGGACAGCGCTCGTCTTGGACATTCCTTCCTATGTCCTTGTGTTTTTGCGCGGTGCTACCAGTTACAAGGGCCAGGCTGAAAAACAACGCACAAACAGATTGACATCGGACCGTGCCACCTCGATTGGGCTAGCAGACGACGACTTTCGTTGCGTTTTATTAGCGTGCCGCGAGCTGTAAAGCGTCCGCCGTAGCTGCTCCACTTTAGAGAGATGGCCTACCGGCCGAAAATGTTGCGTGACTGCTCTCGCTGAAACCGTAGTCACGCTATTTTGTCGATTCTGCTTCAATCCCGAAGTATCACACCTGACGGCTAGAAAAGAGCAAACGGAAATACGTCCAAACGGTGTTCTAAGGCGCCCTCCCCCACCGAGAGGCGCAGCGAAAAGCGTAGGAAGGCTGGCACGTGCGGATACAAATATATCGTCCGGGAGACGTCTCCGACGCCGGCTCGTTTCCATGGCTACGCGTGGCCGCGTCTTGCCGCCTCCGCTTTGAGAGTAATGTTGTTATTCGGTCGCAGTGTTCGGGCGTCGTCGCAATACAAACAACTGGCGCTTGTTTGCGCACCGACCGTCCCACTGGAGACGGTCACCGGACCTCCATCTGGGCGTTTTCCTTCTTCTCTCCTGTTCGCGCGTGCTTCGCTCCGTTCCGTCGATTTTGCGTGGCCCCGGGGAATTTGCCCTGGCGCAGTCGTCGATGCGAACGGGCGACGTGGTTCCATTTCGCTAACTTAGATTTCTTCCGGGTCTCCAGTCCAAACTCTCTCCGGGCACAGTAACCAGACACCCGGGTCGCCTATTTAATCACTCCGACGTCCGAGAAACTGCCTTCGGCGCGATTCTTTGTCGTTACTTTGATGCGAGCGGCTCCCCGTTTCAGACGACGGATCAACCGCAAAGTAGCACCAAATACGCCTCGACTTTTTTTTCTCTTTCTTTCTTTACTCAACCGGTCTTTACGTGTCAAAAACACGGGGCGCCGAACCGTCGTCTGCTAGCCACCCCCTCCGCGTCTTCTGCTGCTGCCGCATCGCGTCGTAGTTGTTGGCCGCACGCCCAGATGGCGCTAAGAACGGACGCCTCCGCGCACGCGCACTGAGGGCTCCAGCGGTGCAGTTTCTTTTTTAAACCCCGCGAGCGCTGCAGCATAACCGACCCGCGGCCGCCGAAAGAGTCGCCCGGAAGTAGCACGCGTCGTGCTGTTGTGTCGAGCGTTATAGTACACCACGTCCGACCATTGTTCTTTTCCCCTTCCCCACCGAAGCCCTCGCCGGATTTCAATTGAATGCATGATTGAAATAATGAGCCTTTCGCGTCGCGCGCTTCCAGTGTGGCTCCGCTCTTAGCGCACCCAACTGTAGACGCGGCTGCGATCGTCCGCGAGTGGTGACCTCCGATCTCAAGTGTTCTTCTGCTTTCCTACGAGCGACGTTTCGGCCTTCCCGTAATGAACGGAGGCGACAGGTCCGGGGTGGTCTCGGGGTGTCCAGTGCCGGCGGTGTGATCGCGCTGGCTTGGCCGAGGTTCGTCTGGTCGAAGACCGACCGCGGTGGTGCAGTGGTGTCACCATGCGTCTGGCGCGGAGCAACGCGCGGCTTCTGGTGCTTCTGGCCTTCTACTTCCTCTTCATCGTGATCGGGGCGTCCATCTTCTCGGCGATCGAGGCCCCGCACGAGAACGCCGTCATCAGGAGCCTGAGGGCCAAGCGGGCGCGCTTCCTGGACGAGCACCCCTGCGTCTCAGGTGGGTGCCGGCGGGTCGGTCGCGACGGGGGCACCACCCAAAATGCCTCCACTCTCCTTTTTTTTCTTCTCATCTACGCCTCGTCGCAACACGTGTGTTTCGGTTACTAGAAATTATTTGTTACGAACGGATGTTGTGAGCGCTACGTGGCAGGAGGAAGTCGTTCACCGTTTTTGTTTAGAAAACTAAAAACAAAACGCGCGGTGGATATGCGCGTGTACGTAAATAATAATAATAACAATCATAATAATGACGACGTATAGGAACACAAAAAAGTTCTAAAAATTACGACCGTGCTCAAACGAATACAAAAGAATAATAAGTGCCGTATTGAGCTCAGCGTGTTGGTATGCTACTTGTAAAAGAATTACACTCAGAAGGACGGAACACACGGACGAAACATGGACTGCGAAAGATGTCCTTATTTTTTCAGAAGTTCTCTTTTGCTTTTTAATAGCTCCAACTTTGACACCTTCCCTGGCGTACCAACTTGTTTTTGAGTGGGGGAGCAAACCAGCCCCCCCCCCCCTCCCCCCCCCCCCCCCCCCCTCCCTCGGGCCGGGGGGCATGCCCTTGGTATCTTTTGGACGCCGCCGGCCAATGTTTGCCCTGCCCAGTGGCGGCTGTTTCAGGGGAAAGGGGCAAAATACATGTGTTGCCCCCCCCCCCCCCCCCCCCGCACTCTGAGAACTGAGAGGGGGGGGGGGGGGGGCAAGCGCCCCCCTTGCCCCCCGCCCCCCCGGTTGATATGCCAATGAACACTTTTAATTATTTATTTTCTTTTTTTTGTAATTTGCTCTCGGGTATGAATGGCATGCAAACAGCGGAGCGCGTGGCTTTTGATACATCTTGCGACACCTAGAGACAAGTAGGTATTGATAAAAGTGCGGAGTGGAGAGTTGTGTACATCGAAATAGGACCCTGGCACGCAGCCCCCTTCCACACCGTAGCTCTATCACTGCCTAGTCGTCTCAAGGTTGCGCAGCATGTATCGAAGGCCACAACGCTCCGCTGTCCGCATTTCCTTCGTATCTGATGGTGCATTTACTTTCTCTGTGGGTTGCGATAAACAACACGTCTGTGTATCGGCTAACCTTGTCACCTGCACGGTGTGCCGAGTAAAGTAAGTGGCAGCCCTTAACGCCTTATCTCTGC